AGGCATTTTCTTGATTGTTGAGTAGTGTGTGAGAGCCCTATGGGCAGTGCCACCCCTGGGAAGGTGGTCCTGAATTGTATAAGAAAGCAGATTGAGCACAGGTCAGAAGAGCAAGGCAGTAAGCAGCATTCTTCCATGGTCTATGCTCCAGGTTCCTGCCTTGGGCTCCCTCAGTGATGAACTGTGACCCAGGAGATGAAAGTCAAATAAACCCTTTCCTCCCCAAGTCAGAGTGTTTTGTTACAGCAATAGAGAAGCAAGCTAAGACATAGATAGATGATAGATAGATGATAGATGATAGATAGATGATAGATAGATAGATGATAGATAGAAAGATAATCAGCTTACTTCTTTGAAATAGTAACAGCACACTCAAGGGGTTGAAAACCAGGTGGTTGCTCTGTCCTTGAGGCTGAGGTAGGTGCCTCAACAGTCACAACCTGGTGCCAGAAACCTAGGGGGTTCCTGAAGAGCCACTGGTCCTTAGTCAATGATCAAAACCTGGAAATACTAATTCTGATGTCAGCAAAAGATGAGTCAACTCAGCAGCCAGAGGGAAAGCCAAGCAAGCAAAAGGTGGATAAGCTCCCTTCTGCTATGTCCCTTTCTATCTGGGCTGCTATCAGAAGGTGCCACCACATTTGGGATGGGTGTTCCTACAGCAGTTAAGGTAACGGTAATTAAGACCACTCGGTTAGGGTGCCCTATTCTGGTGATTTTAATTCGTGGCAAATTGATGTTGGGATCAATCGTGCTGGCTAGTTTTTATCAACTTAACACAAACTATTGTCACCTGAGTTGAGGAATTTCCTCCATCAGAATTGCCTATGTCTATGAGGCATTCTTTTAATTGATCATTTATATGGGAGGGCAGCCCACTATGGTTGGTGCCATTCCTAGGCAGGTGGGTCTGGGCTGTGTAAGAAAGGTAGCTGAGCAAACCAGAGGAGCAAGCCAGTAAGCAGCACTCCTCCATGGTCTCTGCTTCAAGCTCCTGTGTCTAGGTTCCTGCCTTGAGTTCCTACCTGATAGACTATGCCCTCTGAGGAGATTCTAGACTGTGTCAAGCTGACCTTTAAAACTAACCATCATAGACCACACCTTCCAGAGTTTTACATGAAAGAAATAAACTTCTATGCTCCCATTTATCTGAAGGGTGTACGTTCCAAGACCCTGCAGTGTAAACCCAAAACCATGGATTGTTTTGAACCCTCTACATTCTGGACTATCTTTTGTCCTGTAACATACACACCTCTGATGAGTTTAATTTATAAATTAGGCATATTAAGAGATAGACAATAACCACTAACAGAATAGTTGTAACATCATACTGTAATAAAAGTCATGTAAATGTGGTCTCTCTCAAAATGTCTTATTGTACCGTACTCATGCTTCTTGTGTTCACATGAGATGATGGAACGCAGCGTGAGCAGATGAAGTGAAAGGAATGATGTGGAGACAGTAACGCGAGAACTGTGGTACCATGGCAGCGAATGGTACCATCAAATGGCTAGTAAAAGCCTAACGGAAGGGTAGTGTATGTACTGTAAATACTGAAAAAAAAGTAATCCACACCCAGCGGTTAAAGGGTGGAATAGCCTGAAGATTATTTTGCTACTCAGAATAATGACTGCTTTAGAACGTATGGATTGTTATTTCTGGAATTTTCCATTCAATATCTTCAGACTGGAGTTGACTGCCACCACAGAGCCTAAAAACTATGGGAAATAAGGCGAGACTAATATAAGTATTGTATGATTTAGCACTGTTTTGTTTCTGTTTCTTTCTTATTGTTTTAGGTCTTTTCTTTATACAGCTGAATTGAATCCTAACTTGTAAGAGCCATGAGCATCAAGTCCTGAGGATGAAGGAGGGAGATACATACCAGGAACTGACAGGTCAGTCAGGTAAACGTGCAGAGTCCAGACTTTTCCTCTCCCATTTTATGGACAAAGCAATCAAGAGTCAGAAATGAATTCACTTGCACTCAGACTAGAGTTCGGCTAGTTGATTTCCAAACAAAGCTGTATGCTGGCTACCTATTGGGTATATCCAACCTGCAGCTCATGGACTGCATGTACCCCTGGATAACTGTGAATTTGGCCCAGCACATTTGCAGATGACAATGTCGTGTTGCGATGTCAAAAGCTTGGACACCACTGAGGCCTATACTGTGCCCAAGTTCTGAGCTCTGTAACAGACAGTTATTAGATCCTTGAAACCTCCAAAAAGGCCTGAGACACTGTAGCATTACTCCTTTTGACAGAGGAGAACAAGGTGTCTCTGGGAGACAGAGCTTTGTCCCAGAGTCAAACAGCTGCTTGGTACCTAAGCAGCAACTTTAGACCTCGGTCTGTTTGATTTCAAAGCTCCTTCCCACTCTATTTTCCCCACTCCAAGGACTTCCACCCCGCTGTGGTTCCTTATGCTGAGGAAGTCTCAGAAGTAAAGAGTCTGAGCTGATTATTCTCAATTTGATGATTTGTCAATCCACCCCGAAGAGTAAAACAGACAGAGGCAGCCTTTTTTTTTTCCTTTGCAATCTGGGTTTTTCTTAAAAATAGTTGTAGCGTTGCATTTGAAATCTGTGCTGCCAACCTCCTGGATCTAACGGGGTATAGGCATGTTGGGGAAAGGTAAGATTATATAAAGATGAAAATAATGGTTTTCTATGCAGAGTGGCCACATCAGGAAGACTTAACCACAAGCAGCAACTTGCCCTGCTTGAAGCCCTGCCCAGCGAGGGGGAAACGTTGAGATATTAGGGTTTGGTGGCTGGGTTCTCTGGGACAGATTCTCTGGACACCAAATGAAGCTAAGTGGGCCTGAAGGCTGGTGGCTGAAGTTTAACTTGGAGCTGGAGTGGATATCAGTTCCACGGTAACTAATAGTTTGTTCCCTTTCTAGAGCTATCTGCTCACTCACAATGACAGGACCATGGATACTAAGCCAGGTACTCTGTTAAGTACTAGAGATGTAAAAATATAAACAGGGACTCAATAGGCTATTGGGAAGACAAGTAAGACATTGGTATCACTATAACGCAGGGTGGTAAAAGCAACCATACATCTGGGGGTCCCATGTGAGCCTCTTAGAGAGTAGAGGGGTTGGGGAGGTGGCTCAACCAGTAAAGTGTCTGCTGTGCAGACATGACGGCCTGAGTTCAATCCCCAGCATCCACATAAAAGCCAGGCCTAGCTGTACATGCCTGTAATCCTAACTCTGGGGAGAGGGATATGGGTGGATCCTTGGGGCCTTGCTGGCCAGCCAGTTCTAGCGAAAATCAGTAAGATCCAGGTTCAGTGTGAAATCTTGTCTCAAAATATAAGGCGAAGAAACAGTTGAGGATGACCTGACATGGACTTCTGGCCTCCACGTGCACATACACATAAGAGAAAGGGAAGCAATACTGTTTTCAGTACTGGGAGCTTGGGCATCATTTCTAAGATACTGTTCACCTCGTTTTTTGAGACAAGGTCTCTCATTTAGCCGGAATTAGCCAATTACGCTAGGCTAGCTGGCCAGCAAGCCTCAGAGACCAGCCCATCTCTGCTTCTCCAGTAAATATTCACCCACCACAGCAAATATTCAACAAGACAAAACCACACCAAATGGTTTTGATTTAGATTGATTCAGGATGCGTGACCAGGAATAATCTTTTCTCAGATCGTCCTTGGACAAGAGACAAAGGAGATTTTCAACAACATAGAAAAGCATGGATTTCTGAAACCAATAAAACCAGCAGTTCAGCCAATGGTAGATGCTCAGGGTCAACAAACTGCAAGACAATATCTGTCTGATGGTTAATCTTATCAACTTGACGAAATTTAGAATCACCTAGGAAACCCACCTCCCGGTATGTCTGTGAGGGCATCTCTAGAGATGTTTGGCTAAAGCAGGAAAGTCTGCCCTCAATCTGGGTAGCACTATCCTGTGGCCGGGGGTCCCAGATTGAATAAAAAGGAGAAAAGCTGAGCGGCAGTGTCCATCTCTCTGTTTCCTGATTGTGGACACAGTATGACCAGCTACCTCCAGCTCTGCTGCTACGCTTTCCTCACCATGGTGGACTGTACCTTCAAGCTGTGACTCAAACCCTCCCTTCCTTAATTTGTTTTGCTCGGATGTTCTGTTACAACAGTGAGGAAAATAACTAATGTGGTTTTATACTCAAACTGTCACAGGTGTACCCATGTTCATAGCAATACCAGGCATAACACTGTCACCCAAAAGTCGAAGCAACCCAGGTGCCCATCAAGAGATGAAGGCAAACAGATGGAGATTAACACAGAGACCCACAAATAGTCAACATGTAGAAAATAGGAGGCCACAGAATGCCCAGGCCTAAGTGGGACACCTGTATTGTACTTCCAAAGGCTCAAGGGTCATTGCAGAAGAGGGGGCAGAAAGATTCTAAAGCCAGAAGTGGTAGGCGAATACAAGGGAACGGTTGACTGACACTATGGGGTAGTTGCATACATGAACTAACAGTACTTGTGTCAATCTGCACAAGAACTGTGCAAGCCTAAGCCAGACGGGGTCCAGCATGAATGGAAGAGGTAGGCAGGAAGCCCAGGCCTAGCTGAGGCTCTATTGGAATTGATAGCTACTGGGAAAGGAAAAGTCAGTTTTCCTTACTGGTGTGACACCTGGTGGGTTAACCAGACCCCAGGGCATGGACTCATTCCCAGGAGCACTTAGGAGGCATAGATTGGAATCAATAGGCTTTTAAAAACAGAGACTAAATAAATCAATAAAATAAAAGAATAGATAGTAATGGAGGATATGAACTGGTAGGGGTGGGGACAGTCTGGAGATTAGGGAAGGGGTCTGTATGTGACCAAAATACTTTGCCTGAAATTCTGGAATCAATAAAAATATATATAAAAGGGATGAAGGCATAGGCAAAATGTGGTCTATACAAAAAGTAAAATATTGTTCAGCCTTTGAAAAGTATGGAAAATCTGATGCATGCTCCAACGTAGCTAAATCTTGAAGACATTCTGCTAAATGAAACAATTCAGCCTCTAAAGGACAAATGCTATAGGAGCCCACGTCTGTGTCCCTGGAGTAGTCAAACTCACATAGAGAAAGAGCTGTGGTTGTCAGGGGCTGAGAGAAGAGAAAGTGGAAGTTTTGATGGGACAGCAGCGGAATGGGAGAGCTCCAGAGTGATGGTTGCCCAACCAGGTGAATATTGTTAGCTGTTAACACACAAATGGATAAGATGGTAAGCTTCTTGCTATGCATACTTTACCACAGTTTGGTTTTAAAAACTTACTTAAGGACAAGAAAGAAAGTTTAACACGGATGATTCTGCTCTGGATGACAGAGAACTGAACACATTCTTAAAGGAGAATGAGTTGCAGAGCAGGGCTGAGGGAAGTGTGATCCGATTCATGGCTGGCGTCAGGTAGGGCATCCTTTAGGGTCTGGTGGCTGGCCACAGGAAGGGGGAGCAGACTGAGGGGTCATCGCTGAGCTGTGATATGTTGGGGTGAGGAATGAAAGAGTGGGCGGTTGGTGGGCTCCTTCCCTTCCCAGCTGTGAGGTTCTAAAGCTCTAACTGTGTCAGCCTGCTGGGGACTGAGGATGTCCTAGAGACTTGGTCACTCTTCCCAGAGTTGATCTCTCTCATTCTCATCCTGGGATCAAAGGGAGTCACCCCCCTTCACAGGAACCCCTTGTTTATTTCCTCAGCTTCCTGATGACCTAGTTTCATGTCTCTGCTCTTTCTTTCTACTGCCCCAACCTTTCCTCCATCTCACTCCTGCTGGGTTGGAAGGAAAAGACTCTGACCTTCCAGTCCAGATGGTGGCCCCTGGGCTGCGTGCCGGTGGGAGCATAGCCAGTCCTCTGCTCCCTATCAGGCCTTACACTGTGACTGCTGGGGAGCCGCAAGGATCAGGGGCACGAGTGGCCCTTTGTTCTTTTAGCTTCCATAAGCAGTGTCACTCCAAGAGCTGGAGCTGTCAGGCACAGGTTTCTCTCTTGCAAGAAAAAGAAATTTGTTTATTCTGATTCTAAGCAATGTCTACATTAAGAGTTAGTCACATTACCTCATCTAAAGAGGGAAAAGCCTTAGCATTTTCTGCATACAGTTGTGCCTTGGTGAGCGCTTGAGTTTGTTTCCAGATACCTTGTCCCTGTGGATACCAAAGTCTGAGATGTTGAAATCTCATGTAAATGGTGTGATATTTGCATATAACCTGTGTTATTCCTTCCACACACTTTAAATCATTCCTGGGTTGCTTATAATACTTAATGCAATGTAGATGCTGGGTGAATAGTTGTTATGCTGTATTGTTTGGGGAATAATAAAAAGAAAAAACCTCTGTGTATGTTCCATGCAGATGTAATTTGTTTATTCCTGAATAGTTTCTCCAGTTGGTTGAACCCACAGATGCAAAACCCAGATACGAAGGACCAACTGTTCTCTCTCAATCTGTTTATATCTAACTGTATATGGGAATGTACTTCATCATTCATGGATGTATACACACAATGATAGTGTAATAAAATAAATAATAATGAATATTATATATTTACTCAAGTATGCATGTTCCTTTAGAAGTTCTTTTCCTTTGTGTGTGGGGGGGTGATGTGTGTTTGTGTATGTCTGGGTACACAGGATAGTGTGGCGGCCAGAGGTTGATGTCAGGTGTTTTCCTTAATCTCTTTCCATTTCACTCACTGAGGCAGGGTCTCTTGCTCATCTGAGACCTCACAGATTCATCTAGCCCAGCCAGCCAGCTTGTCCTGTGGACCTGTCTCTGCCTCCCAAGTGCTGGATTACCAGCTGTCGTCATACCTGTCTTGTCCTTACATGAGTCCCAGGGATCTGAATGCAAATCCTCACTAGCCACTGAACCATCTCCCTAGACCTATGGAAGGTGTTTTCCTTTTTGACTTAGAGTGTATTATAAACATCTTTCCTGGGCATACCTCTTTGGCAATACTCCTAACCCACTTCCTTCCCCTTCCCCCAAAGTGCTGGAGGTAGAGCCCAGGGCCTTGTGCATGCTGAGGCAAAAGTGCTCTAATACTAAGCTGTACCTCCAGCCCTGCCACATCCCTTTAAACGACTGTATGTAGTATTCCACCATGTGGGAAGTCCATTATTTAAGAGTTTCTTAAACTGGGGTCCACAGAACTCTGAGTGCTCTTTCTTTTTTTTCTTTTGTTTTTTGAGACAGGGGCTCCCTATAGCCCCAGCTGACCTGGAACTCACTATCTCACTATGTAGACCAGGCTGACCTTGATCTCCCAGAGACCCACCTGCCTCTGCCTCCTGAGTACTGGGATTAAAAGCATGCTCCACTGCGCTCAGCTACCCTGGGTATTTATAAGGGTTCCTTTGTTCACTCTAGGAATTTTTCTTTTTTCTGTATTCATATTTTATGGCATATGACCAGGACAAGGAGTTAGAGAAGAACCTTCTGAGTGGATAAAGAGCCCGTGCCAGGGTGAGGTTTGAAGAAACTGACTTCAGGCATTTGGACGCTAGAAAAAACATCTTGGCTGGTGGGTTTGGTGGAAATAAGTTCCTCTGGTGGAAGCGGAGTTATGCCAGGCTATCTATTCCCTTCCTCCTGCAGGGAGTGGACTTAAAGCACTTTGTAACAAAACACGGGCAGTTTCATCTCTCTTGAGAGCTGAGTCCTGTGCAGGTGCGGCCAGAGATGCTCATTCCTTGTTGGTTCATTACAGAGAATGCATCAGCTGTGCTTAGCCGTAGACCAAATTACCCTAAAGCTTAACAACTGAAACAGCAATAAACAATACTGTCTTTTATAGTTTCTGTGAATTCCAGAGCAGCTTAGCTGGTGGCCCTGGACCATGGTTTCCCATGAGATAGCGCCCAGGAGGTCAGATGGGGTAGCAGGTGACTGAGGACTTGATCCAACCTGCAGGATGGGCTTCCACTCACGGGTAAGCAAGATACCTCAGTTCCTCATCATGTGGACCTCTCCAGAGGACTTCTTGGGTGTCTTTACAACATGGTGACTGGCTTACTCAGAGTGTTCTGGGAAAGAGTCAAGAGGAAGCAAGAATTGTTTTATGACCTGGCTTGAGTAGTCACACTGTCATCTCTATAGTATTGTATTCACCAGTGAGTCAGCCTCGTTCAAATTGGCTCCATCTGGTGTGGGGAGAAGCTGCATGGATGTGATATCAGAACTCAGGGATGATTGGGGCCCTTCCTGAAGGCTGATGAGCTCAGTGATAAGCAGGGCTGAGGACAGGCATGAAATGAGATATTCTTGCATCCTAGAACATGACAGTGCTGTTGATGTGCAGAACTGTGATGATATTCAAACTCTGGTTGAAGGTCACCATAAAGGTGTGGTGGCCGCAGAGATTAGCCTCAGTGTGGAGGCAAACCCTCCCCTGCTATAAGCACACATTGCTGCATTGCTAACCCAGGCTGTCCTGATGGGCAGCCAATGTTCAGGCTCATAGTCTACAAGTTAGTCCTCCCTTCCCTTCCCTGCAACCTCTCTCTGGGTATATTTAAGACAAGGTCTTACTCTGTAGCCCATGTTGGCCTGGAGCTCACTATGTAACCCAAGCTGGCCTCAAACTCAAGGCAAGCCTCCTCCTGCCTCAGTCTTCTGAGTGCTGGGATTTCAGGCATGCACTATCACGCCAACCTTAACCACTTAGTTCTTAATGAAATGTCCATTTTTGTTTAATAGGTAGGGCAGTTGGTGTGAAGGGCTATGATACAGCAAAGGCTTGGGAGGTTGGTGTCAAGCTCTAGTTCTCTGCCTCACCAAGAGGTCATCCTACTCTTGCTCTGATAAGTGTTTGGAGCACTTCCAAGAGCAGTCTTAAACCTCCAGGGCTGCAGGCAATGATTCTGTGTTTCAGAGATTCTCCTCTCCCCGCTGTAGCACTGAAATGGACTTTTCCTCTGGCCCTTGAGAGACAACTGATCCCTCATGTTTTCTGTGCAGAATCCAGTCTATTCTGAGGGAAGAGCAGGTTTCTTAAATTTCAGAATGGAGAGAGTTCTCCTAACTTGGTAAAAATTGTACTTGTGGAAGTATGGGTCACTGAGCTGCAGAGAGGGAGAGGGAAAGGACATCTCCCCTGAGGTCCTGGAGGAGAAACCTGTGCACATCTCTTCAGCTCCATCCCTAGAAAGCTTCACCTTAGCGGATCAAAGCTAGAGTCCCAGGAGAAATGTCTTCTCTACCACACATTGCTTCGTCACTCTTTCTGGACACTGGTGGGTGGAAGGTGAAGGGACGTTGTTGAGCGATGATAGAGCCTCAGTATGGGCAGATTGTGCCCCAAGGCAGTTCCCCTCAGCACCTTCCGAGATAGTTGGGGCAGCAATGGTTCTAAGGTCACAGAACAGTGACTAGTGAAGGCGATGGTTTCAGGCAGTGTGTGTGTGCATGTGGACTATGGTTAGGTACAATCTGGAAGGTGGACCTGGGTAACCTCTACCTACCTGGTCATCCCAGTCAGACTCAGAGGGAAGAATGAATAGAAGGACAGCTGTGGAACTGACCTTCATACATGGAAGAGCCTGTGTCTCCCAAGATCCTCTTCAACCTTTATCTCTGGAAAAAGATATCCAGGGAACCCCAGATAGGAAAGACCGACAGTTTGCAGAACATGCAGGAAGATGAATCTCAAAACCAATCTGCCTGGGAAAACACTATAGAAACCAAAATGGATGTGTCTTAAGACCAACTCTTAAGTTTTAAAGCATTATAATTAGTACCAAGATTTTTTAATACCATC